GTTTTAGAAAACGATCTTCGAGTTTTATAAAACGGCTTCTCGAGTTTTATAAAACGATCCTCGAGTTTTATAAAACGATCTTCGAGTTTTATAAAACGGCTTCTCGAGTTTTATAAAACGATCCTCGAGTTTTATAAAACGATTCTTCGAGTTTTATAAAATGATTCTCGAGTTTTATAAAACGATCCTCGAGTTTTATAAAACAATTCTCGAGTTTTATAAAACGATCCTCGGGTTTTATAAAACGATTCTCGAGTTTTATAAAACGATCCTCGGGTTTTATAAAACGATTCTCGAGTTTTATAAAATGATCCTTGAGTTTTATAAAGTGATCCTCGAGTTTATAAAACGATCTTCGAGTTTTATAAAACGGCTTATCGAGTTTTATAAAACGATCTTCGAGTTTTATAAAACGGCTTCTCGAGTTTTATAAAACGATCTTCGAGTTTTATAAAACGATCTTCGAGTTTTATAAAACGGCTTCTCGAGTTTTATAAAACGATCCTCGAGTTTTATAAAACGATCTTCGAGTTTTATAAAACGGCTTCTCGAGTTTTATAAAACGATCCTCGAGTTTTATAAAACGATTCTTCGAGTTTTATAAAACGATTCTCGAGTTATATAAAACGATTCTCGAGTTTTATAAAACGATCGTTGGGTTTTATAAAACGATTCTCGAGTTTTATAAAACGATCCTCGGGTTTTATAAAACGATTCTCGAGTTTTATAAAACGATCCTCGAGTTTTATAAAGTGATCCTCGGGTTTTATAAAACGATTCTTCGGGTTTTATAAAACGATTCCTTTTATATTTCTGCGGGGAGTTTCGGCCATTGATTCCGTCGTACCGATTTTGACCCCAACAGAAAACACTATGAGTCATGTATAATACTTTTAATAGCGGTTTTCGTTTATGCTATAATTAAGTAAACAACAATAACGATAATTTCTATGCTATTGTTAATATTTATAATATATATTTAGCTTTTATATGTGGAAAATAATAATAACTAAAATCTAAAACCACTAAATATAATTAAATAAAAATTATTAAATTAAATAGACCAATTAATTTATAATTAAAAATCAAATTTTATATAGTAATTTAATTCTGGTTACAAATAAATTCCGGTTTACAAAACCCGGTTTAAAAATTTAAACCTAAAGCCTAACCTAAAAAAAAATTTAACCCTAAGTCTAAACTTTTTGCCGTCAACTTCAGCTCCTTCAATTTCTTCATCTTTGGGCTGAGACCACCAGCCAAGAACACCACAGTATAGGTTAATCAGCTTCCTCCACTGTTCTAAGCTACCATTGATACCGTCGAGACCACCATTGTTGACGCTGATATCACTCAAATATTTAACCCTAAGGAGTGAATTACTCTCTCAAATAAGAGGTGCAGTTGTAGTACTTAGGGATCGAATCCACAGGGAACTGAGGAACACAAAAGATGTAATCCTAAGTGATTATGCTAGGTTGATTCAGTTTAAAATAGTAAATTGCAGTTGTGAGCAATGATAAGTTGCTCAAGAGAATAGGTTTTGGTTTAAAACAATAAAAGAAAGTAGTTAGATTCAAGGTTGCTATTCAGAAAATCAGGATTATAATGCTATATATGTTTTAGTAAGTTGCTTGCAAGATGTATAAGAACTTCGATTCTTAGATAGATCTATTAGAAGTCGCTAAATAGACTTGTCCATTGATCTTATTGCCAGCAATATCGACCGATGTTTTGACAGCGATATCAGACGATATGGGCTGCCGTCGATCGATGACTATATAGGAGTATCGATCGATATAGCATAAGATCAAATCGAAACTGTGTTCACCAAGATCATAGACCGGCTCTCGCACATCCCTAGAGGATCTAAGCTTATGCCCAATGATTTCAGGATAACGATTAACAAGTTAAATCACTCCATGATCATACTCTAGTTAGCTACTCTAGAGTAAGCATTAAGGTTCATTTGGATAATGAATATCACAACTCAACATTCCATAGTTTGGGCTAATCCCTCATAACTATTTGAACCCTAATCTAACAAAGGAATCTACTCAGACATAGCTAAGAGATTCATAACAGCAAGGTAATAATAGAAATTCATAAGATTAGAAGATTGAACTCTTGGTTCTTTTGAATAACAAATCTCTTTGTGTATTTCTTCTAAATCTAGAATTCTATAACCTTTGAGAATTAAGATGAAAAGAATACTTTATTGCTAAGTATAAAATAGTATCAAAAGCAAACAAAGCACAAGAAAAACTTAAAAACATGCTTTGCCAAAACACATAGGCATAACTATAAATATGAGTTCCATTAAGTTAAAAACTCGTCAGGGGCAATCTTGTAATATTGGGAAAACATGGGCTTCAAGTCGGCCAAGTCAGACTTGTTCTCCACGCTTGATATCAATCGATGGTACATGGTGTACATCGATCGATGGAGTATCTCGACTTCATATTCAATAGAAGCGTCATCGATCGATTACACATGATGTGTATCGAGCGATATGTATCCTTGTTGTTTGATCTTCATAGTTATCTCGGAGAACTCTCCTTTAAGCTCCATAAGGGCACCTAAATCATCACTTACTTTACTCCAAAATGCTCCTGAACCTGAAAACATACCTAATAGACTCCAAAACATATATATAACTTATAAAAACATATCAATACCATGGCTAAAAGTGGGTCAAAATCATGGTATATCAGGCGCCGAGACCACTACTGTTGACGTTGAAACCACCACCATCAACCTTCTTTAGCCTCTTCTGCCTTTTTAAACTGAGAACAGAAAATCAAAATCAGAATGAGAACACACACACACAGATAGACTGAGAGAGAGGGAGAGAGCTCTTTAACACCACTTCTTCTCCTTCCCTGCTCATAATAAAATAAAATAAAGAGAGCTCATAATCAACACAGATGAAGATGAACAAGAAGCTAAGTGTCATCGAGCTACTAAAACAAGCTGTGAAGCTACTCCTGAGCAACATCAATCTACCACTCATCATCTTCCTTTGTTCTCTCCCACTGTTCTGTTTCTTGATCGTCTTTGAGCTCTTCCACCAAACCACCCTCTCTTTCACTTACCATTCCTCTCCAAACAAGTCAACCTTGCAAAGGATTTGTCACAGAACGATCTGTTTGTGCAAGCCACCAACTATCTCACTTACCAACCGCTTTACCAACAACGCAATATTTGGGAGGACTTGTCTGAAAACGATCTGATACCATGTCTGATCAAGACATCTCTGCTCTACTTCTTCCCTTACACAATTTTCGACCTTCTTACCACCACCACAATCTTTGCAGCATCTTTAACAGTTTACACGTCCAAGGAAGAACCCTTGGGGTTGCTTGGGGTTATTTTTCTTCTACTGCAAAAAAATAAAATAAAGAGAGTTCATAATCATGTTACTGCCTAAAGATTAAGACTTTCATCACAAAGAAAAAACAAATACCATAAAGTCTTTAAGATCTGAGATAAGCAAATGAGGGTGGTGAAGACGGATCTGAGAAGCGATGTTGGTGGTGACGAGCGATGGCGGATGGGAAAGATGGCGATGGTGGTGGTGATGACAAGCGATGGAAGCGGACGTCGCGTATTCTCGAACTCCATTTCTTCTTAATATTCTCTATGTCTCTCTCTCTCTCTCTCTCTCTCTCTCTCTGCTTCTCTCTATGGAAGACGAGTGCTGTTCTTTTTTTTTTTGTCGATGAAAGGGACTTTAACTCAATATTCCCCTGTGACTCAAAAATATTTCTCTCTATGGAAGACGAGTGCTGTTCTTTTTTTTTGTCAATGAAAGGGACTTTAACTCAATATGCCCCTGTGACTCAAAAATATTTCTCAATTCTCCCACCAATAAAATATAATTTTTTTTATTTTTTTTGAAATACAAAAACGTGGTAAATACGTCTACAACCCTAAGAAAATCAGATAATTACATGACCCGGCCATCCAAACCCGACCCACCCAAACATATTCGGGTATAACCCAATCCCTAACCTAAACGCTGTGTTTTGACGGACTCATCTCTTATCTCTCACTCGTGTCCTTCTCTCCCTTATTTTTCTCCAGAAACAGCGACATAAACGTCCCATAAACCCTAGATCGAAAAACCATCGTTCCTTCTTCTTCCTCTATTCTAATCAAGATTCTTCCCTTCAAATCGACATCCTTCAACTTGTAAGTGATTTCTTGACCTTGATTTCGTTTTATTTTGTATTTATTAAGGGAAATTGTGGTTTGAAATTGGGAAAACATGTTGAAATCGTAGATTTGGTATTAAATCCGTTTAACTTGGAACGAAAACAAAAAATTCATGATTGTTGTGGGTTCTTTCTTACTTGATCCAATTGGTTTTCCTGATTTATTGTTTGTGATATGAAACCGAAATCTCTTTGAATCTTAGGATAAATGTAACTGAAATGGAGTTGGTGATTTATTAAGTGAATGAATGGTTTGAGAATTATTGAGTAATAATTATGGTTTATGTCTAAATGTGTGTTGTTGTGTTGTTTTTGGAAGTTCAGAGGAAGAAGATAATGGCAGGTAACCGTGGAGGAAAAAAAAACTAAAAAGAATAATAAAAAAGCCACGACAGCTCGAGAACTTGTTGATCCTGTTGTTGAAGAATCAGATGGGAATAATAGTGATGATGTGGTTGAAGTCCTCTCTGAGGTATAATATTTTTTTGGTTTTAGTTGAATAAAGAGTCACTGCTTGTGTGTGTATTGGTTTTATTTGAATTAAGTGTCACTATTGTGTATTAGTTTAACTTGAATCAAGTGGCATTGCTTGTGTATTACTTTTTGTTGAATTAAGTTTGTGGGCTTTTGACTGGATTAGTTGAATCGAAATGGTTGAATGGCATGATAAAAAGTCATAACCATGTTTAAAGAATAACTTTCCTATAAATTCGGATAAGTAATAATTTTTGTTGTGATTACTCATCTTATACAGGGAATGAAGGGCCAAAAAAGAAGGTGTCCATCTATTATAGGTGGTGTGTCTTGTAGAACTAGAGCTAGAAAGGCGCTCTCAGATGGGAATGAGCAGATAGGAGAAGAGGCAGTCCAGTGAGATAATACTCCAGTGAAAGAAACCACTGTAGATTCTCTCTCAATTGATGCCGAAAGTGAAGACATGTCTGCCGTATTATCCAAAGTAATTTTTGCATTCAATTTAATCATTGTTAGAAAGTTATATTAGTCTGACTAGTTAGGAATGACTAATACATATATATATACATTGATTGCAGGAAAGGCAACCACCGCAGCCTCTTGAGTTTTACTTCAAGAGCACACAGTTCACGAAGACTTCCAAGATGCAAACTAAATTTTTGGTGAAAAAGACAGTTGATGTGATTAAGAAGCTTAAGGAGGAGGTTAAATGGTTCAGAAGCCACCCCCAGTTTTGTCATTCCTTCCACATGCCCGATGAAGAATTCCTGAAGCTCCAAGCAATGTGGATGTTACTTATGCGCACCATTAATATTGAAGGAGATGATTCTGCATGGTTTGGGGTGAACGGTGTGCCCATCCGCTATTCTATGAGGGAGCATGCCCTCATCTCTGGCTTAGACTGCCATGAGTATCCGAAGAAACATTTGAAGCTCAGAAATAGAAAGTTTGTAGATTTTTACTTCGGTAGACTCAAGAAAATCACCATAACAGATTTGGAGCAGAAGCTGTTGTCTATGAAGTCGGCATGTCCTGATAGGTTAAATATGGCTGGCTTGTTCTTCCTTGGTCGGATTATTAGAGGAAAGACAAAGGATAGCGGACCAATTGACCCATTCATCTTAAGGATTGTGGGAGATCTGGATGTTTGCAAAACATTTCCTTGGGGTCATCTAACATTTGAGGATGCAATAAAGGAGATTAAGCATATGATGGAGCTCCTGAAGGGTGAAGTAAAGCAGGAAACCGGCTTCCCTGGATTCATAATTCCGTTACAGGTAAAGCATAAATTTAGTAAAATTTTAGTTGTTTTAAACCGAAAATCTGATACTGTGACAATTTATATGTGTAGGTTTTGGCTTTTGAGTGTATTCCTACGCTGGGGAAAAGATTTTGACACCCTGCAGAGAACCCTTGTGAAGATTGTCCTAGGATGTGTAAGAGCCGGTTTACAAAGAGTAGCATGAAGGGTTATCCTTTGGAAGATATATATCTTGCGCTTGGAAAAACAAAGGTATCTGTATATAATTTTTGGTTATAAACTAGCATAACAGAAAATTTAAACTGATGTTCATTATTTGTTTCCAGGCTATTAACAGTGTGCTGGTGCCAACTGTGGATGAGGAAACTATGCTGGCTCGTATCATTGATGAGGAGCCAGAGTATCGTTGTGGTTTTAGCACAAGTGATACGTGGAATCACTGGCTAAAAGTGAAGCAAAAGAAAAATTTTTGGCAAGAAATATATGACTTGGACATTGCTGCACGAAATTTTACAAAAGAAAAAGACAAAGAAGAGGTGATGTTTGAAGAAGGATCATCTTCTAAGTCTGGTATGGAATTGGGCTTGAAAGGTCTGGAAGAGAGGATTTTGGTTTCCATGGGAGAAGGATTTTCTGGAATTAAATTAATGATGGAGACAAAGCTGGAAAAAATGGACTGGAGGATTGTGGGAAACGAAATCCACACTGTCGATTTTCCGTCAAATATGGAAACTTAGAGAAAAACCCTAATTTTCCCGAGGTCCTGGATCTCTGCGGAAATCACTAAAACAAACAAAATTAATAGAATATGAATGAATAACGAAGAACAAAGAATGTAGAATTTGTATGAAAGCTTTTATTAAGTAAGAAATCGACAACTGTTACAAAAGAGAATTGAAGAACTTAGACGTCGAAACGTTCTAAGGATCTGGATTGCTAGTTTAAACGCTAAGTCCTAGATTCCTAAGCTAACAGCCGCCTTTTTTAGGTCTGATTTTCGTCCCCCTGCTCCTCCCCTATGCCTCTGGCTTATATACTCCTGTCCTCGGCGGTTCAGTCTTTCCATTTTGCCCGAATTCGAGTCTATTTATCTTCAAACTTGCCTTCTGTCTTCAAACTTGACATTTATCTTCCATCTGCGAGAAAAACTATCAAAACGTTATCGTATCTTCAGGTTTGATTTCGTTAATATCGCGAGATGGGTTTTTATCGTGTTTTAGGACCTTTCGGGCCGTTTTACGATAAAATCCATTTTATGACTTCATACGAGACCATTTCCTGATCCGATGCCGTTTTTACGACTTTCTCGACGTTTTTCATAAAAAAACGCGTTTTTATGATTTTAACGAAAAATATCGAATAAATCGTATAGTTTAGGCAATGTTCGGTGTTTTGTTTAATCGTTGCCGTTTTATACGATTTCCTCGAGTTCTTTCCGAGAAAACAATGTTTTACGGTCTTTATCGTAAAACTCGGATGATAGGTCGGAACGAGACGAAACGGGAGACATTTTGAACATGGTCTGGAGCACGACCGTGTCGAAGGTCGTAAGCACTGAATCGGGGATGCGGGAGATCGAGGCTCGGGATGGTCGATTCAACGAACGGCGAACCGAGCCGGTTGACTGTCCAGGAAGTTTCTAGTTCGCCCAACGGCGAACTAGGCCGGTCTTGGCTTAGTTCGCCGTTGGGCGAACTAGACGGGACGAAGCTAGTTCGCGTTTTACGGCGATTGCTGTTTTTCGCGGTTTTGTAAAATGGTTCTTCGTGTTTTATAAAACGATTCTTCGAGTTTTACAAAACGATTCTCGAGTTTTATAAAACGATTCTTCGAGTTTTATAAAACGATTCTTGAGTTTTATAAACCATTATTTTTGTTTTATAAAACGACTCTTCGAGTTTTATAAAACGATTCTCGAGTTTTATAAAACGATTCTCGAGTTTTATAAAACGATTCTTCGATTTTTATTAAACGATTCTCGTGTTTTATAAAATGATTCTTCGGGTTTTATAAAATGATTCTCGAGTTTTATAAAACGATTCTTCGAGTTTTATAAAACGATTCTCGTGTTTTATAAAACGATTCCTCGAGTTTTATAAAACGATTCTTACGGAAAGCAGTAATCCCATCTTCTATAGAAGTTATCATAGACGTTGATTTCGAGAATACGATTTTTGACACCAACAGTTAGCCCCCCAGCTCGCGAATTCTGGAGAAAGTTTTTGCGGGCGAATGGAGTTGCTTTAATCGGTATCTACGACTACGATTTGTCTTATTTCGA